AATCTATAGGAATGACAAGATTGCAGTTTTAAGAGGCATTAAAACTGAACTTGACATGACATTGTTACCTGACCTCGGGTGACCTCTGCTTGATTTTTATGCACGATGCAAAATTGATGTACAATACGATATACCGCTGCTTTCGCGGCGCTGCGCGCCGAGGTTTTTCTCCGGGCACACGAAAAAACCGGGGGTGTGGCTAAAAACACCCCTACCCATCAAGACGTAGACCGGAAAACCGACCCCCCCCCACTCAAAAATCCGTGGCGACGCCCCTGCTAGAGCTTAAAAATGGTGTCAATGTGTTTCTGAAGATCAGCAAAATCGAATGATATGCATATGATACAATTTGGGTAACTTGAACTGAATTAATTAATTAAAGTTTACTTAAAAATTAGGAAAAACTTTAAGTACACTTGAGCAAGCAAATAAGTATATCATCCGACGCGCCTTGACGTGCTGAGTTCACTAGTGCTTTTTTTTGCTCTATCTTCATTAGATCAAAAGTTAGAAGCGAAAAACTTTTGACCTGTTTTTAGCGAAATTTTTACATTTATACCCCAAAAAAACCCTAAATATTGACCTAGAGCAACCAAATTTGCACAGGGGCGAGAGCTCCAGAAGGCCCACCTACCTACCAAATTTGGTGTTTCTAGGTGCAATAGGAGTCAATCGCGAGGGGGGTCGCATTGACCCCCCCTGCCTGTGTTATGAAAAATGCGCTGCCAGGGCGAGGGTTAAGACGCGTCTAGCTTGGAAGTCTCCGTCCAACAGTTAGACCGTAGACGCAATAGACGCCAGTTGGACGCAAGTGGAAGTTTCCACCCAATATGAATGGTCAACGCCTAATAAGCTGGCAAGCACTATTTAGCCTCTGCCAAAGACAAAAAATAGTTCTTCCTACACAAACATATTTTGTATTTTTTAAACATAAATTTATTTATTATGATCGTTTCAGGCGCAAAATAATAAACCTGTAGCAAAACGAAAAATTATTTGAGAAATGTGGTATGTTTCCTTTAACCCTCGCCCGTATTGGTGTTTTGCCAGCCGCGAACGTTTAAAGTGGGGGGGGGGGGGTCCGTTGGACCAAAATTACTTTGTTGGACCCCCCTCCCTTGCCGTTTCGCTTCTGATCAAGCTAGAACTTCGCGGAAATAACGAGCGTGGTGCTGCCCGTGACGAGAGAAAGCCGATGATACCCTAATTGAGGTCCTAGTTCATTGGCTGACCTTCCAGGTCAGGTCAATGACCCAAAAGTCCGGAAAATCGGAATCTGTTAGAGCGTCGTAAAGTGTGGTTGATATAGGGGTTTTCGGGGTGATGATCACGATTATTATGTTAGTTTTGATCACAGATGATGTGTTCATGCATTTAACCCGCGCACCGACGGGGGTCTGCGCAAACTTAGTACCGACGGGGGGGGGGGGGGGGCGGATGACCGCCCCCCCCCCTGAGATCTCGAGAACGAAGCAAGATAGCGACAAGCGGTAAACGTCATCGGATATGCACGGACAAGGTCTACAATTTTTACTAAGGTCATTTTCAGGTCAGGTCAAAGATGACGTCACAGGGGTCGAAAAAGTCAAAATGGCGGCGGTAGATATGGAGAGGGTTTTTCTCGAATAACTTTCGAAGTAGTCAAGATAGGAACAAACTAAGGGCATCATCGTGATCCTCTCGTCAATCCGCATCGAATGATATATATGTTGACCTCGAAAGGTCAAGGTCAAAGGTTGACATCAGGTCACGTGACCTCGAGGTCATCATGTATATCATTCGATGCGTCTTGACGAGCTGAACACAATGAGACCATCCGCGCGGCTGTATCTTGTTCCTGTAAGGAGTTATTGGCAAAAAACCTTTGGTGACCTTTGATGACGTCACATGACCTTACAGCTGCCCAACAGCAAAACAGACCTCAAGGTAGTGAAGGTTGATCGTATGTGAAGTCATGTATGGTATATGGGGCCATTCCGACCCGTTTTAGTGGTAAAAACAGGGAGTTGATTTTTCCCCCATTGACTTATAATGGGGAGGTCGCGAAATTGACCTGACCTTAGGTCACCGACATCAAAATTCCGAGATATACAAATTGTAGCTACTAATGACCTAATAACATCCTGCGACTTTCAAAGGCCTCCAACATCTACTGTAGCTCTGGCACGGTGACAAAGTTGCAAAAAAGTGACTTGAGGTTGGGTCATTCAAAGTGACCTGGTGACCTGACCTTAAAAGCTAGGAGGTTCAAACTTGCACACCATGTGTAAAATTGATGAGAGAATAGTCGTGCCAAATTTCGCGGCGCTACGCGCCGCGGTTTTCCCGCTATCCGCGAAAAACCTCAGGGGGGGCGGATATCCGCCCCCCCCCCGTCGGTGCGCGGGTTAAGGCGGGTCAGGTTAGGTCAGGCCAACCAGTAGGGGTTCTGCCGCGTATTCGTAGTAGGTATCTTCCGCCTCTGACAGCTTCGTAACATTTTACGAAGGCACCAAAATAACTTTGTAAATGTTCAAATGGTTGCTAAATTCGAATTCGGCTCTAAAAACTAGCCTAGAAACATGTAAAACTCGAAAAAGTGAGCCGAGGTCATCAAAAGTCAATGACCTGAAACGACCTTCAGGTGACCTTGACACCCACCCTAATGCATGGGACCAAACCAATATCATATCACATGTTTGAACGCTTGAAACTACGAAAAGACTGCAAACGCGTGGCTAATGCGAGCCGACATACATACACCGAATCGCGATTCCGGCCAAACATGGTCTCAAAAAGCAGGTCACAGGTCAAAGGTCATTTGGGTCAGGGTCATGAAATTTTTAGGTTAGGTGTAAAATTGATTACTGCGAGGGTACTGAAAGTTTTGTCATGACTGGCCGCTTTTTACACGAGTTAGTTGCGAAAAACCAAGGGGGTCCGTTCGACCCCCCTATTATACGGACGAGGGTTAACCCGCGTCCCACTGAGGAAGGGAGGCTATACAGAACCTCCCTCCCGTTTTTCTGCAGCATTTTCTAAACCGCTGAACGTATCAACACGAAACTTCAGCACCTTCAGCTGCATCAATTTTACATATTGCGTCCAAATGAAAATTTCAGAACTATTATAGGTCGGCTAGCAATGACGTCAGAGTGACGAAATGTTCAGCCAATTTTGAGGCAAAACATTAATCTACGGCAATTGCTCTCAAGAGCTCAGTTTTTATGCTAGATCCGTTTTTTTTTTGGCATGAGAAGACTGACAATACACAGGGCTACTAAACTATCGTCCGTGATTTTCGAAATCTTGACGAAAAAAAATAAGTTCTGTGCATATAAACTCAGATATTATATTTTGAATTTTTTCCTATAAGTTTTTGACATTTCAAAAAAACCGGAATATATGTGATTGAACACATACCTATGATCTACTTTTGGATGTTTTAGCCCGACATCTTCAAATATAGCTAAGGTATACGCTTTGTGGTAAACGACACACAATTATCAAAACTAAAATACATTTTTTTAGTAGGTTTCTGAGATCGTACAGAAAAAGGCAACATCGTGTTTGTGAGCTCAAATTACATCCGATAGACACCTTTTTTACTGAAAAATTTCAACTTCAAAATTTGATTTTTTACCTGAACGTATTCAACTGAACATGACCACAAATGACATAGATGACAGACGACACTGATTTCGAAATATATGGCCTAAATTGAGCATTAAACATAGGTCACGTAACTGATGCATGGCATAAAACGTGATCTAGGAAGACCTAGCCTTGACTTAAGAATAATAATTACAAGTGCACACGAATGTGTGCTTAGGCATGCACACAAGTGTGTACTGATCCGACTCGTTAGCTGGCGACCAGAGCCCAAAATGTGCACAAGCCAAAACGTTGGTTATTTTTACTTTGACCTGACCTATGACGTCACCTCGAGGTCAATAAAATTAGGTTAAGCTCGACAGTCTTCCATGGCTTTCAAACGTCATCAGCTGCTGCTCTCTGCACCGTTGCTGCTATTGGCTCTGCACGCCATGCAAATTGACACAATTTCGCACTTATCTATCATCTAACATAGAGCCCATGAGCTTAACGAACTTAGAGAAACAAAGCCATTTTCACCACAGAATCATCCAGATAGGAGGGAACATTGCCGGTTTGAATATGGCACCCACACCCATAACAGTTAGGCATCCTTATTCACTACACATTGTTAAGTTCTCCGGGAATTAGCGCAATAGAGCAGGGTGACACTGGCCTATATAAATCACTGTTATATAAAAGCTGATCTCATGCAACGAACACAGGTCGTTATCCCCTGCAACGATCAAAAGGTACTGCATAGTTCCTAATGCATACCGGTTATATAAGAGTACTCCATTATACTGTTAAATGGTACTATTTCTTTGTATTTTTTTGTGAATCGTAAATAATTTCTGTACTTTAATATATCAGTAAGAAATTTAATGTGTTATGAAAGGTAGAATGAAATTTGTAATGTCTGATCACATGGTTCACTGAACATTCATTTTACCGATGTCGTCCAAAACGCATGCCTAAATAATGTGATATGATGATGCATGATATGGCATGCAACAATATAATAACAGGAAAATTTCTCTACCCGAAACTTTGTATAAAGTGCTTCGCTTTCCGTCTCTAAGTACCGACTCTAAGTAAGTTTAAGTACAACCGTCCCGAAGCGTATTAGCCGTTTTCACGACGGGCTATCCGGCGAATGCACCTAATTTGACCAAATCTGCACTTACTCTCTTTTACAGCAAATATCTTCATTTTATCAATTTATTTCAGTGTTTTAATCGATGATGCTGTCTGATAATATGACAAAACAGGTATATAAGCAATTAGTGCAGCCCTAGCTGATAGCTGCTAAGAGACACACTGAACCTAATTTGACCAAATCTGCACCTAACCTGTACCAGATGTGCACCAAATGTGTACCAGATGGCCGTCGTGAAAACGGCTAATGTTTGTTGTGCTGCTCGCAGGTCCTGGCGGCCCACCTCGACCCAGAGCCATGGACAGCCTGGCAGTTCCCGGAGACGACATCACTCTGGCCTCGCTCAGTCCCGACATGTCGGACGAGAGCGATGACAACAGCGCAGAAGACGAGGACATCACCGTCTCCGACATCGAGACCATCGACTCTGCGGCCGACTTCAAACTGGAGGTGTGCTACTTCATCTTCACCCACCTGAAGAAGGTCATCGGATGGACGTCTCCCTTCCTCAGGATCATGGAGATCATCCTGGTGATCTCTGTGTATGTCAGCATCATCACAGCTACCTTCCTTGTGGCCTTTCATCGCACCTACATGCCCGTGCTGGCCTTGTTCTACGCGAGTGACAGTGTGTTCGTTCTTCATTTGTGCTTCATCGCGTTTGTTGCACTGAGTCCCGTAAGTGCCTGGTCAACTCCAAACCAAATCACGTTCCGACAAACTTGCCGTCTCCACTGCTTGATCGACATTGTCACAGTGATCCCGTTCGAGCTGATTTTGGGTCAGTTGATGCCAACCAAGGAATACAGCATCTCCAAATACATCAAGCTGAGCTACGTATCCCTCGGTCGTCTAAACCGACTCATCAGGGTGTACCGCATCGTTCGCTTCTTCAACAACAAGAAGAACGACGTGATTTTAGGAACCAGATACTCGGACATCCTGTCAGCCACGTGTGCACTGACCTTGCTGATTCACATTTCGGCCTGCATCTGGTACTTGATGGGTTGCAGGCCGTTCGTCGACGACCTGAGCGACCTGAGTATCTGCTGGTGCATCAAGAACCACTTGCTTATAAATTCACTGAACGAAACAGAAATGCACACAACATTTGACTATCAACCATCAAACTGGGCTGAAGCACACAGCTGGACTTTAGACATGTTCTCGGTGGCCGGTTCTGAACAGCATCACTTTTCTTACCTGTACATCATCAGCGCCTACTGGTCTACCGTGACGGCGCTCAGCGTTGGCTATGGCGACTACCGAGGTCTCAACTTTGACGAGATCCGGTTCAGCATCCTGGTGATGCTGCTCGGCTCAGCCATCACCAACGGACTGGTGGTCGGCAGTTTGACATCGCTGCTCACCAACGTCGAAAGCCAGAGAGCTTCTTTCGCCCATCGTCTCATGATCATCAAACGGTACTTGCAGGACAACAAATACTCCACGGAGCTGTCAGAAACGATTCAAGGCTTTTATGAGTACATGTGGTTTAAGAAAAGAGGACAAAGCAAAGACAACATATACGAGGCGCTGCCTCCGTCTCTACAATCAGAAATCTGTCTCAGCGTAAACCACTGCGCTCTTAGTAGATCACCCATGTTCAGAGACTTGGACGAAGGTTTCTTGCGCTCGATTGCCCTAAAGATCCAGAACCACTTCTACTTGCCGGGCCAGATCGTGATAAACAAGGGCACGGTGAGTCGATGCATGTACTATGTGGTCCGTGGCGAGCTGGAGGTTCTCAGTGACCGTGACAATCAGACGCCGGTGGCCGTGCTCAGACCGGGCAAACTGTTCGGGGAGGTGAACCTGGTGCTCAACTTCGCGCGCACGGCCACCATCCGCGCAGCCACGCACTGTGACCTGCTGACCTTGAGCCAGCACGATGTGACGCCGGTCCTCTTGCACTACCCGGAGGCCAGGGTTGCCATGTGGGAGTACGTCCAGGCTCTCTTCGAAATGGACTTCAATGAGCCGGAAAGCACATCCGCGAAGACATCTTCTGCAAAAGACATGGGGATATCGACGTTGAAGTCCAGAGGAGATCTCAGCTCCTACAGCTCACGTTTCATGCCAATACTAAGCCCAACGGTGGAGAGTGAAGAAGCTCTTGTGACAGGCAAAGATCAAATGTCGGTGAAAGAAGACGATGCAGGTGCGAAAGACGGAGATGGCACTGTACAGCTTGCACATGAAGCACAAAGATCTTCCAATGCTTTATCTACAGAGGCTGCAAAGCTAGAGAAGCCTGCTTCAGAGGTCTTTCAGAGGAGGTCAAGTATACCTGTGTTCAAAGAAGCCAAAAGCTTGGTCAGTGCACGCTCCAGTCTGCCATCCAGTCAGCCTAACAGTCCGACACAGGATCGAGTGCCTTCAGGCTCCCAGAAGCTGTCACGTCCCAGCATTCATTTGACAGGGTCTTCTCGCAAAGTGACCACCAGCGAGCAGACTATGCAGAAGGGAGATGAGCCCATACCAGCTTTCGAGAAGCCTGAAGAAGGTGTATACCCCAGTAGCAAAAACATTCAGCGCAACAAGCACTTCGATTGGGGTCAGGCACAAGGTACCAATCTAAGAAAACAAGTTCGTCGTCCAACCATTGCCTCTCGTCCAAAGGGCATGTCAGAACTTCTTCTAGGCCAGGACTATGCTGTGCTCAAAGCAGACTCCCGATCACATGGAATATCTTGGCTAAAGAAGGTGATGGCACACATAGGAAGACCTCGGATCGACGAAGACAGCACATTTGACAACGCTTGGAAGACTTTTGTTTGCGTGATTGTGCTGCTGCAATGGTTCTTTTATCTGTATCATGCCAGCTTTCGCGATGGCTACAATCCCGCCACACTCATGCTGACGTACTGCCTGGATGCCGTGCACCTGCTGGATCTGATATTTAGCTTGATGACGGTCGTGATAACTCCAAGAGAAACGTACGAGACTTACCGACAGATTTTCTCCTATCGCGCTGGCACCGTCGCCTTCTACTTGGACCTCACTGCCGCTCTGCCACTGGATTTGATCTGTCTGCCGTTCACTGCCTCGATGGGGACGGCCCGGCGAAGTCAGCTGATAACCATATGCAAGCTCAACAAGCTTACCAAGGCATGGGTGATTTACCATCGATTCAGGTACTTCGAAGACCAGCTGTACATGCCACTGCAGCTGTTGCGACCTATGGAAACCGTTGTGTATATTTTGATGGGTGCACACCTAAACGCATGTCTATGGTACATGGACGCCAATTTCGGCTCCACTCTAACCGGCGGCATCACGAGGGATATATGGCTAAAAGATTTCCTGTCAGTAAAAACCGAAGAGCACTCCCTTGACCCAGAAGACATGAACGTCAACAACAGCGCTTACCTGTTATCCTTGTACTGGGCAGCAGCGACCATGTCTACCACCGGATACGGTGACATTGTTGCCTTGAACACCATTGAGTATTGCATCAGCATATTGTGCATGGTACTGGGCCTGGTCCTCTTCTCTTACACACTGGCTTCTTATGCATCGCTTCTGACAAACATCGACCGCCCGAAGGTGCAGTTTCAGTCAATTGTGTTCGCGATGGAGCAGTTCATGGTAGAGAACCGACTGGACCGGCTTCTGCGCAAGCGTGTGCTGCGATACATGGACGTGCAATGGAACGCGTATGATGGACTGATCATGCCAGGCAGCCAGTCACTTCTGCATGACCTGCCTGATGCGCTGAAGCAGGACCTGGCCGCCGACGGTATTGTTAGACTGCTGGACCAGGTGCCGCTGTTCCACAGCACCGACACCACGTTCAGACAAGAGCTGAGCACTCGGTGCTCTCGCTACCTCTTCCCGCCGAACGAACTAGTGCTGTACAGCGGCGACCTTGGCAGAGACATGTACGTCATCATCCGTGGCTATTGCGAGTCGTATATCGGCAAGCGGCAAAAGTCGCTTGGCCTGATGGGTCCCGGCGAATACTTCGGCGAAGCGGGCATGCTGTTCGGTCTTCCAAGACCGGCGCATGTTATCACACGCACACACTGCTGTCTGCTGGCTATTCCGCACGGTGAATTTCAACGCATCATGAAGAAGTTCCCTACTGTAAACATGGAGATCCGCGAGATTCAGGACAACGCCGCCATTCTTCGCACCGTGAAGTTGAACCACGCAAGAGTCTGGCGCCTCTCCAAGGAGCTGCCTCCCAGTGACGACTCGCTGTTCCCACCAGATGAGCCCCCACCGTTCACGACGTTCCCCGAGAAAGACTCGAGTGACGATGAGTACCGTCGTCCGTTTGCTGAGCTCGGAGGTGTGATGGCCGCGCTGTCCCGCCTGCTCATGCCGAGAACGGTAAGGCCAGATGGCAGGGCCGCCGTTCGGCTCGAGTGTCTCCGCATCATCACCATCATGATGGTTCTCTTCTTGACACCCGTGCACGTGACGTTCGCATGGAAGAGCTTTGGCGTCTACGCTCTGGGCATACTGCTGGACATCGTGGCCTTGGGATTTGTGTACTTGCGCCTGCATTGGGCCTACTATGACGAGAATTCGACGCTCATCACACACCCTATCGCTACCGCTCAGAATTATCTATCATCGGCCTTCCTGCTGGATCTGGTTGGATGTTTTCCTATCGATATCATAGCCATGCTGTTCTTCCAGGGTCGCCTCGAGGAAAATCTGCACTTCATCGCTCTATTCAGAATCAACCGCATGATTCAGATGTACGAGATTGCGTGGGCGTTTTACCACTGGGAGCGAAGGCTGGTGTTTCGAAGTGGAGTTTTTAAGGCAATGAAGTACCTCTGGTACTTTGTGACCTACGTGCACATCATCGCCTGCATCTGGGCGTATATCGCATGTCCAGCGTGGCTTTCGGGACAAGAACCAACTGCGCAGGGCATTGAAGGGCGCTTACGCGAGTACCATGAGTACAACATAACGAAGTTTAGAAGACAGCATGGGAACTGCCGCGCATACTCATGGTACAGCACCTCTGTCTTCGCGACCAAAACAAACAGTTCTGTAGATTTGTACATGATCAGCATCATGTACACTCTGGAGATGGTTGCGTCGGTAGGCTACGGCGATATGACTCCTCGCTCCAGGATTGAGTTCATCTTGTCCATCATTCTGATGCTGCACGGCGTGATGTTCTTCGGCTTCGTCATCGCCAGTGTGACAGCTAGCTTCGTCAACGCTGACATGACCCGTGCGAACTTCAGCGAAAGAGTGAAGGAACTGGCCGAACAAATGCAGTATGAGCTGGTTCCCGACGCTTTACAGAAGAAGGTTCTGAAGCATATCGAATATGAGTTTTTCCGCTCGCAAGGCATGGAGGCGCACGCACTTTTCGCCAATCTACCCCCAAGTATAAGAGGGGATGTAGCCATTGTGCTTTTTGAAGACCTGATCGGCTCAGTGCCAATCTTCAAGACCATCGATCGAAGTTTTCATCGAATGCTGGCCATGTGCCTAAAAGAGGCATTCTTCCTGGAAGGCGAGACTGTCATCTACGTCGGAGATATGGGAGAAGAGATGTTCTTTATTCATCGGGGAACCTGTGACATCGTTGATGCTGATGGCAACACTGTCATTTCCCTAGGTCCTGGACGGTTCTTTGGAGAAGTGAGCGTGATGTTTTCCATTCCGCGTACAGTGACGATCAAGGCTCGAACAAATGCAGATCTCTTCATCCTGACCAAGAATGACTTGCAAGATGTTCTTGAAAACTATCCCGACATTAAACGAGAAATCGAACGGATCGCCATAGAGAGGCTTCAGGATGCTGGTCAGCGAAAGACAACAAAGCAAGAGCAACAAGCCACTTCAAGGAAGCCAGAAGGTGGTGGACGGGTAGGATCGCTGACGGGTGTCGGTCTCACAGAAGCACGACATGGCCGTAAGCACAAGACGCATCATCGGCGCAGTCTGGTCGACCAGCTGACTGGCGCTCTTATGCCACACGTTATCTCGAACATTTGGCATGGAGAACACCCAGCTGAACACCCACTTGAAGCCGAATACAATGCACTGTTACAGGGTGAAGACCATGAAGAAGTGCCAAAGGAGCAAAAGAGGCGGAGAAGCTATCAGGTTCTCCAAATCAAGCAGTTTGTGCATAGGATTTTCTCCGGCTACGCCACAGCTGATGACAAACACCGAAGCGACGAGATGGACAAGCATGCTCAAGAAGACAGCAGTGCAAAACACGTGGATGAATCAAAGTTGGACGATACAGCTAACGAAGCGGTCAAGATTGAGGTGCATGACGCGTCGGAAGTGGACAGCAAACCTACCATAGCACCAAAACAAGACCAAACACTGGACGGATCTATGGTTTCAAAAGATACAGTGGATGGGAAAACTCAGATAGGCGGGATGCATCCCATTGACGAAAACGGGGGAGAGAGCACGTATAGAGAAGACGAGAAGCCAGCAGAAGCATACAACTTGCAACAATCTGTCGCCTCGATAGAACATGGTCCAAATGTAAAGGATGATATTTCTAGCACTTCAGAACCCGATACATCTGGAACAGCTACGCTGACGAAAAAGACGCAGCCTGACGAACAAGACGAAGCGACTACTGAGCACGAAAGAGTCTCGGATGCACTGACAATGGGGACGGCTTCTGAACAAGTTTCAAAGAATCCAGTTCCTCCACCAGAAAGAAGATCTGAGAGTGCAACAAAGCTACCACCGATTCCATCAAAACACTTACCTAAGCCGAGCAGTGTCACATCACCTGAAGATAGTGTAAAGAAGACGACCACCGAAATCCAGCAAGCTACCAACAGTGGCATGCCCGCAATCATAGTCAGTCCGTCAGAAAATGAGGTGCCTTTAGTCAGCCAAAGCCCAACTGCCGATGGCAGTGCAGATCACCCTTCGAAGGCGCACGACGACCCCGAAGTTAGCCACTCACTGGAAAACGCAGGACCGAAAGCTACCATTGCCAAGCCTGTGAAATCGGTGTCACATCAGATCGATGACGACAGTGCTCTTCGGGAAATGTATGTCAGCAGTCGGCCTGTACGGACGTCAAGCGCCCACATCGTTCCCGAGAGCTCATCTGGGATCAGGATCTTATCAAGAGACACTGGTGAGCCGTCCGACGGCAAGCGCACGTCCAGGGTGTCCATCGGTAGTGTGCTCAGTGCGCGCAGCCAGTTCAAACCCCCCGTCTGGCTAGAAACGTTCCTACAGCGCATCAGGGATCGACTACGCAGAGCACTGTCATCAAATTTCATCATCAACCCCAAGTCCGAGCTGCTGCTCCTCTTCAATCTTCTCCTGGCCATTCTCGGAGTTACGTCAATCATGATTTTGTTCTACCAGCTGGCATTTTCCGACTTCAGTGAGTATCTCAACTGGATTCTCCTAGTCATCTCTCTGGTGTACACAGTGAATATCTACATCCGCATGCACACTGCATACTACGACAACTACGGCGATCTAGTGTGCGATCAGCTCTCGGTGAAGAAGAAGTACATCCGTGAGCCGACTGGTCTTCTGATAGACGTCCTATCAGCGCTACCTATCGGAATGCTCGTCTTCATCCATCCTGGATCTCCTGAACTACTGCAGGCCATTCACAAGGTTCGCTTTGGTCAGTTGGCACGGTTCTACACCGTGTTCAACTTCTTCCGCTCGTGGGAGGGGCTGCTGAAGGCACCGGTGCTGCTCCTGCGCAGTGTACGTGCTGTTGGATTCTTGCTGGTACTGCTGCACATCTGGGCATGCTTCTGGTACATGGCAGCCTGCTCGGGAAGAAAATGTGAGAAGGATTCTTGGATCACCATTCGGAACCTGGATAATTCCACGAACCACGAGAGGTACATCAACGCCATGTACTTCATCACGGCTACCATGACCAGCACGGGGTACGGAGAGATTCGCCCCAACACCATGCAGGAAGTTGTCGTCTGCATCGCCACCATCATCATCGGAAAATTTGCCATCGGTGAGTTCACTAGGAAAACGACGCGTTTTTACTTTCAAATAATAGCGTTGTTATTTCGTGGCATAATGCTCATGCAGTAGGTATTTATCGTTCCGCTGTGATCAATCCTACATTTGAAAGCATAGAAATTAAGCGACGTTTACAGAAAGAAGGAATGTTGCATCGAGTACTTATTTCCTGTTGTCTCTAAGTCATATCTTAATTGTTTGGCCAACAGGGGCCACAACACAATGCCCTATCCATTCGTTAAAGTTATGTATAGGGCATATCGCGTTGTCTGTCTTGAAAATTACAACTTAAATTCTTTGTCTCATAGGCCTTATCATCGGCGACCTGGCCTCCACTCTGAGTAACCTGGAGGTGGCCAGGGTGGACATGGAAACCATGCTGGCCGTCATCGTCAACCAGATGAAGGACCAGATGGTGCCCAAGAGCCTGCAGAAGCGCGTCAGACAGCACGTCGAGTACGACTGGCTCCGGAACCGGGGGCACAGCCTCAAGGACCTGCTGCAGCACGTCCCCTACTGCCTGAGGGTAGGTCTCTGACTGATAAGTTACTGCGCGCCTAAAATGTTGTTAAACTATAGATATGCGTATCTTTTGACGTCCGATGTCCTCTGACTAAAACCAGTTCTACCGGACCCGAACAGCTATTGCATTGTCACTCATGTACCCGTAAAGAAAATTAATCATATGTGTTTAGTTTAATCGACAACGAGCATCTCATGCATTTTCGTACCTCCATTTGTGAATGAGTTTACGATGCTTACAAGTAGGTATGCCCGTTCGTGTTTTAGCAACACAAATTATAATGTTATTATCAATCGTGCAACTAAGCAAATATGCTTGACTCCCCCAGATGGAAGTTTTCGAATCGATCTACGGTATCCAGCTGCGCTCCATTTCAATCTTCGAGTCGGCTCCAGACTACGTGATACGTCGCCTCAGCGCTCTCTGCGAACAGCAAGTCTACCTACCCGGTGAGAAGTAGTGATGTCAGACTCACAACTAGGATGCTTTCTCGATTAGATGATTCATTCACGAAACGAATGCCGTGAGAATGAAGGACCATCAACGTTTGTGGAATAGCCAGCAGGCTAGCCAGGCTGATCTGTAGTTTCTAAAGGCATTCATTTTTTATTTCACTTTAAGCCTTCTTATAAACCAAGAACACTTTATTGCTCTTCCAATGCATATCGTCACCGCATTCTGTCGGGAGCTCGGATAGCCTCTGACTGACCTTCCTCTCCTTGACCATGCAGGTGACTTCATCACCAAGCGTGGCGACATCGGACGTCGGGTGTACATCATCCGGCGCGGCTCGGTACTGGTGTACCGTACCTCTCCGGCCGAGCCCGAGTACTTCCTGTACTCGGGCTCCATCTACGGTGACGTGCAGATGGTGTACCCGACGATCCCCTATGAGCACCACCTGGTGGCCGACTACCCGTCTGATGTGCTGGTCATCCACCAGGCCGACATTCAGCTGCTGCTGGCCGACAATCCACAGTTCTTCTTCAGGTTAGTCAGAGTCGACTCGTAGTTAGTCTGCCGGGCTGGGGAAATGATACATGGCTGGTGCTCGAATTTCTCTCGAATGAATTTGAGAAGGGAAAATTGCGAACACGCATGACTGACCGATGACCGAATGTGCATAAAGCGGCGTAGCCGTAATCGGATTCGGATTCAAATTCGAGTGCCGCCAACAATTTTGTTCGAAATGGACGTAGAGAAACGCTCTTGACATGCTGAATATACGGAAAGCACTTTTTTCAAAGGTTAAATAATTTGACCTCAAGAGGTCCGCGTCTTTTGAACATTTTGGTCGGACTGTGCTCCCAATGTGGCAATTGGCATCTGGATTATATTTCAAAATGAGCAAAGTAAATATTTAAATATTTCTCGCATGTCGTGAAAACTTTCCTTTTAAAAGAGACCTTCTGCTGCACACCAACACAGAAGTAAACGATATCCGTGACGTTTTTGGAACTCAGATAAACGTTTTGGGGAGTCTGAGTGCGCCCCTGCAGCGTCCTTCTGGGTTAGTTTTTGGTTACTGATATGCACTTATATCATGCATTTCAGAGTTCGTCGGTATATACAGAAGAAGTACGAAGATATAGTTCAAGATAAGCGGCCTTCGATGGTCGTAAGGGCTTCTGTTTACTGAACGAAGAAACATGAGGCTTGACATGGAATGCAGCGTGTTTTCATGTGTGACTAAAGAAGAAAGGCATGCTCTGCCACCAACTGTTTGGTGATATGTGATATGTGATATGTGTGTATTTGCATTTAGCCAGCTCCTCAAATTGTTGGTTTAGCCGTGCAAGAGATGACAAGCCTGCTGTAGCAATGGTAGAACTGTTGACTGTGCAGCTCAGGGAGCAATCAGCATTACTTACATGGGCTTAAAGGCTGCCAACTGGTGGATGGGGACCTCGGTAACCGTCTATGACTGCAGTGTCTTACACATACTGTCGTTTGGTGTTGCTGCGCTGTATTATATAGGCACTTGTTGTCTACGAGCCTGTAATGCTAGTTTGGGTGCATGCGAGACTAAATTCGTTCGATGCCGTGAAGCTGATATTGCGCAGTGTTATGGCTCTGGTTGCTTCAACATGACCATACCCTTTGTGTTATAGGCGCTGTTTTGCTCTCGTATCTAGACGGATATGTGCATCAGATGAATGTTGTTCGAGTGTTTGTGTCCGACTGACTCAATTATCGCCAATCGGCAATGCTTCGCTTTTGTGTGCCTTACGATACGACAATAAACGGCACAGCTTGAGGTCACAATAACGTCCTTAAAAGTTCTATCACAGTCGCGATCAGTTCAGGGAACGTCAACAGGAACGAACAACGATTCACGCTACCTCAGCTGTTTCACAACCAGCTCAGCCAAATGCAGACAGAGGGCGATTGTGAAGATATAGGTGATTCCGAATGTAGCAGCCTGCGAGTGTAGGTAATTGTACAGATAAGTATACGCGTTGCATTGGTGTCTCCCGATGTGTGCCGGTGAGTGCGTGGCGCCTGTATGGGTACCTGGTGCTGCCATCTACCCTGGCAAGTGACAGGCTCAGATGGCGCAGCGGTAGGAGCAGGCTACGAAGCCGGTGTTGTGGCGTCATCTAGCGCCACTCGACTACCTCAGGTGATTTATTTTTTTTTTTCATTTTTATGCCTATAACTCGTGCCGCAGCGAGAGAATGTGTCTTGATTCAGCTTTGCCGAAAAAAATATCAACCGATCATATCATTGGTACACAATACTGAATACACGTTTTCCGCACATTTGAAAATTCCAGTTTAAAGTAGGCCTAATCCAAGGCCTAAGCCACCAGGTCACGCTAAAGGGAACCTCCCGGCTCCCACATTCAACAAAGTGCACAAATTGGCATGAAAGTTATGTCCTGTGGTTCAGAAAGATCACAAATGAATATCTACCAAATTTCGCCGAAAAAACATTCACTGGTTTTCAAGAAAGGTAGGTACTTAGCGCTTTTCACACAAGAACTGCGCTTCGCACATAACCCTCGCCGGACCCATTGGTTTTCTACATGCGCGCCGAGGGGGAGGGGTAGACCTCCCTCGCCGTTTCGCCCCTGGTAGAGCTAGAGCCTCGCAATAGAAACAAGCCTGTATGCCGTAACGAGACGCAGCGCCTTGTACCGGATTTTAAAGTCTCAGGTCAGCCTGAGGCCCAAGGCACGGGCTCATTTTTTGTATAAATAACTTCGCAAAAAAAACAATCATAGAAACATGATTTTGGCATCATCGTGTTTGCCTGGCTCAGGGGCGTCGAATGGTATGCGTTTTGTTCGGTAGAGGTCAACTTAAGGTGTTGACCTCGGATCAAGGTCAGATCAGAGCCCCAAGGTCACGAAGCTGTTTGAAGGAGGTCATATTGCATATCATTCGATTCGGCAGGTCTCCCGGAGTCCACTGATGGCTTTCCCGACTCGTTAGCTCAATTTGCTCGGGAGTTATTGACGAAAACTCTTAAGTCTTATGACCCTAGTGACTCATAAATGACTTCACGCAAGGTCAACAATGCAAAAATGAAGCATCCAACCTTGCCAGGAGTGCATGGCCATGAACTCACAATTCCGTGTGCCTGAGATTGATTGAGATCGTTCCCGGCGCCAAAATAGCAGTTTTCATATTTCCTTTGGCCTATAATGGTGAGATCACGTGACCGGCCTGATCTCATGCGAACTTTAGGGAAAATACCAGATATACAAGTTGTGAGACCACTGGAGGATACTAGATCTTGTAAGTTTCATCTCCCTGTTAAAGCTGCTTTGGCTCTGAAGGCGTTGCAAAGTTGCGACACGTGAGAACCGTGCAGAGTTTGACTTATGACGTCTTAGGTCATTGACCTGACCTGACTTCAAAATGCAGTTGGTGTCACAAGATTCTGGTTTGAATCGAAGATCAGGTATGCCAAGTAGCAGCTCTCTATCATCTGCGTGTTCGGAGCTATCGTCAGAAAGAAAAAAAATATATGGGGGCGGCACCTACCTCCCCCCTCGACCGGCGAGGGTTAAATATGAAACATTATTGAACAAACACAGAATTAGAAAATTGCTCTTATTTGGAACCCTTGGGGCTCTGAATTGGTCTCGTTAGACTAAAAGAGCTTAAAGCTTTAGTAACTCACAGAAAGTGGCAAACTTGACTTAAAATTATCCCGCGCCCTGCTGGGGGAGGGGGGTGTTTGAACACCCCCCCCCCTGTGGTTTTTCGCGAATATACAAATATCTATAATAACACGGAACAAAAATGATAGACGTCTATCATTTTTGCTCGGTGCTATTGTGCTTGTCTCACTTGAAATACAAAATATCATTTAGCACACCTTATCATGCATCAATTCTACACATGTTGTTACAATTTCAGACCAAGGTCATTCAAGGTCAGGTCACCAGGTCACTTCAAGTGGCCTCACCTCATAAAAAGTTTTAATGTCTGCCATAGCTATACCGAGTGACCGTCGACCGATCGCTTTGAAACTTTCAGCGATTGATAAGAGCAACAGTATGTACATTGTACAAGATGAATATCTCGGAATTTCGACATCGGTGACCTAAGGTTGGAAAATCTTGCGACTTCTCCATTGCCTATAAGCCAATGGGAGAACATTGAAAAGCGACTCTTTTGGACGAAAGTCGTTCTAAACACTCTCAAAACACCTAATCACGAGTAACTTTGACGCACTTCATGAAAATGGCACCCATGAACCCTGTATATGCCCCTGCGATCATCTCAGGTCACAAATGGTATCCAACAGTTTTTCGCGAATAACTTTTGATAGAGGCATGATAGAGCGATGAAAACGCTTTAGATATGTATGTAAGTTACAGCTCGACGATACGAATCGACCTGTATGCAGTATAACCCTTTCCGGTCAGGTCATGACCTTGACCTGAGGTCAAATTTTCAAGTTGACCTTTTAAGGTCAAATTATAGTTCATTCATTGCGTTGCGTCGTGACGAGAGGAACACGTTGCTGGTAAAAGTAAACTCGTGCAAGACGTGAGTCAAAAGTTATTGCAGAAAAACCGTTTTCGAAAAATCGGCTATTTTGGCAGTTTTTGTTCCTGCAGGCAAAACCGTAGACGTTAGGTCAAATCTGAGAGAAATGTTAAAAAGCGCGTTAACATGGCTATCAAATGTGCTTTTCCGCGGCGCTGGAGCTCTATTGGTTCCCGAGTTATGCGTTGGCATCTTGTAAATTGTCGACATTCGACCTGAAAATCTGCGAAATTTTGCCTTCAATGCCCTCTGGTAACCTGACTTTGAATCTGACCAAAAAGTGATTAAAATGATTTCGTCATTGTTTTAGACGCTCTTTCGAACGCCGCCTTCCGCGTATCGCTATACATGTCCCAGGAGCCGAGTTAGAAGGAGGGGGGAGTGTTACCCTCCCCCCCTAGTAGGGCGTGAAAATTCCCGACCCCCAGCGGGCGCGGGTTATACTTGTGAGGTCATCTGAACAGGTCATTCCCATTTTTGGCAGCTAATTTGCAGATTAGATATGATAAGACGATGATGTCACTTTGAATGTGTTCAGCTCAATAATTTGGATAAACCGATTTGAAATGTAACCCTTGCCGGTCAGGTTATGTTTTTGATCGAGGGCTAAATCATACATTATTCGACGGAACTACGTTGAGGAAAAAAACATTCAATAAAAAACACATTGCTAACAGTTTAGCCTTCACGCTGGTAGAGGTGAGGGAGAGGGGGATAGGTGCGTTTTTCTGCGCTCTTCGGTATGTTTTAGGCGTATAGAGAAAACATGTTGGCACACCTTGCTATGCATCACCTTTGCAGCATATCACCGTATGCTAGGCCACCAAAACGAATAAAGAAGCCAAAGGCCATTATTATAACATAACCTCCGAGCCGGTTGCGAGTTTTATTACCGATTTTAACATATTGATCATTATAAAAGTAATTATCAAATATGATTGTTATAAGGTCCAAGCCTGCCTTATCCTTTCTTTGTTGCCTCATAAGAGCCAGACGGTAGGGTGGGTGTACGCCTTTGGGACCGCTTACCATATAAGCTTTGTTCAGGCGAAAAAAAGCCGGCAGTGCTGTCCATCCTTGCATTTGGATGCTACTTATCACATTATTGGTCAGTGTAGTTCACCAAAGATGAATTACCTGAATTATAATAGAGTATAGATGGTAGTGCTAAGTAACAAACTTGGAGGAAGTATAGCACATGTTGCAGGTGCATTAGATAGGTGCATAAGATAAGAGGTGAGGTAGAAATGAATATTATATTTTTTTATTTTACAGAGTTGAAAAGTATTTAACCTACATGCTGCACATACTCTTTTAATTTTTACCGTAACTCTAAATGGACACTGAGCCAGGTCTAAAGGCTAAAACTAATTTGAAGAATCCCAAAACGTACCCGTAAACCGCACTTATTTCGGAAGGATAGTGTATTTATCGCCTTGGATTGCACCAGGGCACATTGAAGACTTATCAACTTGACCAGCCATATGCTCTGTCACCGCTCCTGCATTGTCATTGCAGAACACAGCAAAAAGGCGTGGGTTTCGTAACGTTACTCAGCGCTCAGGGCCGAACGCTGCAAGGCATGACATCCTGCAAGCCAGTATAAGCGAGAAAAAAAAACAGATTTCATCAATTTACCTCACTCTCCGCGGGCCCGGCCCAGCCGAGCGCGGAGGTCAAGCAGTGCGAACGAACGCCACCCTGCGAATGCCGTTTGCAGAGGCGGCTGCAAGTGGCATGCAAAAGCCAGTGTTGCAATGCAAGTCAGTTCCAGCTCAGCGACGAATCGAGATTCGGACGACCATGAAACGGTTATTGCCTGTTTCCGAACGCTGATAGATTTCAAGCAATGCAAACTCGACATAGAATAGGATGAATATTTCACGAAAGAATTCTTATTGCAAACTGCGCGAGTCGGGTGGTTTCGCCGAGAAACAAAGCACAAACACATTTCGTCTTCATCCCAAACTCTGGCCGACACTTCGATCTCTTCTTCAACACCAAATAGCGAGAGCCGCCTGCCCCAATCCTCCAGGTAACACGGGCGACCTATACCGGAAGTCGGATACCTGGGACCGACCGTAAGGCATCTCACGAGTCGCCCCGGCTCTATCCGGTTCCCCTTTCAAACCGACCGCCACCGTGGGAGCGTAGACTCGCCGCGAGTGACTCGACGCCATCGGCGCCGGCCGCGCCGACTAGCGAGCGGACCGGGCGGCCGCCAGGTGTGCCGGTCGGCGGCGGCGGCGGCGGCGGCGGCGGCAGCGGTGGCGTCAGTTCACAGGTGTCAGCCATCGGGGTGGCGCGTGCGTCCTGTCAGCGACGGTCGTCCAGGGCGACGCTCGGCGCGGGTGACGGCCTCGGGATGTGTGCGGCGCGACGCCAGCGGTGTCGACTGACCATTCAGTGACGAAGCGGCCACGAGGAGGTGGCAAGGTGGTTACGAGGTTGTCAACCACCCAGTGACGGAGAAGTGACAACTCCGCGGTTAGTGAGTGATTGAGTGCAAAGTGACGAGCGGCTCTGCCGTCGCTTGCCGAGGTAGGGTGACCTATTGACGAGGCAGTGACAGGTCCCTCACGAGACGGTCTCGACTCTCGAGCCACTCACGAGTCGCGTGACACGATGGCGAACCAGGCCGACTACCTGGAGGAATACATCAGTGCGATGGAGTCCCGGGACGAGCCGGAATCTGGCGACGTTTACTCCCAGCTGCGGCAGAAGGAGAACGATCTGGTGCTGGCCGCCGAGCTCGGCAAGGCACTGCTCGAGAAAAATGAGGCCCTCAGCATGGAGAACGAACGCATGGCGGAGGATTACTCCAAACACCTCGAGGTAAGTGATGCATGGAGGCCAGCCGACCACTCAAAGACAATCACGTATCAAGTTTCAAACACGGGGAGACCGATGACGCTAAAAGCTGACATCGAAATTTAAAATATCTATCTGTCTTTTGTGGCCGCCGCACCTGGTGAACTTCACCGTTCAGTCACGTTCCGTCCACCTACTTGATATGCTGGAGCGACAGCGTGTTCCAAGTGCGATGACGTCACACAGGAAACCCCTGCCGGCATTCCCGGCGAATTCAATTACCTGTCCTTGGCCTCACCAGGACACGGATGCTGATTCGGACGTCCTTCGGCGCTGCTGAGCGGGCGCCTAGTCTGAGCTGATCTGATCAGCGGAGCCGTGGGGAGGGGGGGAGGGGGTCTGACGCCCGCGGCCGGTCCATGTTTGGTACAGTACTGAAGGGAGAGCCGCCATGACACGTCGCCGAGAATCGGTCAGCCCCCGCTGGGAGTCGAGTTCTGTCGGACGGAGAACGATCAGGAACCTTCAGCGCTGCGCAGAGTCCTATTTCGACGGAGATTGCGGCTCAGATTCAGGTTGACCTCATAAAGGATAGGTGGCACCGTGTCAGACCGGTCTAACTCGGCGCCACTGGTGAAGTGCGCTAATGCAATGGTGTGCCTGCGTCCTGATGGTTACGCCTTGACGGTGACGACGACGACGTGACGTTGGGACCGATAAAACCGTTTGTGCACCCGGGCTCGACAGGTGACGGTCGACGGTGATGGTGACGTTAGTTGTGACGTTAACCTAATGGTGACATCTGCACCTACAGCCGCGTTTGACCAATTATGCCAACAAACTTTTGGGAAAGTTTTCCTGAAGTCCAAAGCAGATGCTATCAAAAGGGATTCAATAATGCATTCCGTGCCCAATCAAGAATTTCAAGGGGTTCCTTTATAAAATGATCACCACTTATCAATCAGTAATCACGGTTAAAAGAGCAATTAAACAGCAGTTGTAAAAAAAAATCCGCCAATGAAGACGCACAGTGACGTTGCCAGAGTCCGTCCCAGCGTCGGTGACGAAAAGGCGTCGGTGACCTCACACTCGAGAGGTCTGCTCGCCGGCTCCTGCAGCTGTCGAATTCACAGGCAGTTCACGTGTGGCGACCTCCTCTGACACAGAGACTGAGATGACCGGCCGTGACCGAGCCTGAGGTCTGGGGAGGGGAAGATGCGTAGAACAGAATGAGACGGCTGCTCAGCTCCCAGCCCTCACACATGGCGGGTCCCTCGCAGCATCTACCATCTAGCTAGGTACCAGGGCGATACCGTTTAAGACTGATAGGGCTATAGCCACAAAATCGAGCTTACTGCGGCTCTGTCAGAATGGTGCAAGGCTGGCCGCTGGGGCTCAGTAAACTTGTCATGCAACACAAGCGTGAAGTAAGGCATGAGTCACTGTTTACCATCTATATCGGATTCCAGATAACCACCTCACCTTATGCCTTTTTCAAGCGGCAGATCTGATAGGCCGCTTCAGATTTACACTTATCGGTGGTATATTTGCATGGGATGTTGGATAAACTCATAAGCATATTTGGCGTGCAGCAGGGTATGGCGTCCACCGGCCAGCTTCTGTCGCGTTATGCGCCGTCAGACACCAAAACGTCACCCCGCGCCCCCACTGCCGTACCGCTGGCTGGCCACTTCCGGCGCACTGTGACAATGCCGGCGCGGGAGGGGAGCCGGCGCCGTGCTTTGTCCGTGCTGCGCCGCCACTGTCTCCCGCCCAGTAAGGGCGTCTGTCAAGTGTCAACTAGCTGCTGTTCGTTTGAAACTTCCGTATTTAGTGCAAGTACCGCATGCTTACCTTGCGGCTTGCGGCAATATTGTTTGGCATTTTACGTTTATCAATTACGAATATCCCTAATGAAAAATCATATTTTTGGTGTTCAATGCACTGATAATGTGAAAGGCATACGGTACGTCTTTTGAAAGTATGGCCAATCAAGTGAAGTCCACTAATTAGCAAGAGACGTTTTCATAATCCTCACACCCCAGACTAAACCTTTTTCGACGTGAGTCGTGACCCAAGATCACAGCTCCATCCCAACACACCACAACACGATATTGGGCGTACCCATGGCACCTCCCGCGGCACATTCGAGCAAGCTGTGATCGCTCTACTTGTACTCTACTCGAGACCTCGCGAGCGGCGAGCACATTCGTCTCAGCTCGCGCGCGCCCATAATGGGGAAAGTGCCACCCCTGACCCGGCCGGGTGAAACCTCGGGCCGCTCCAGTGCCTTCCCGCCGGGAGCCCTGGAGTTGGAGCGCGATTGCATCTGCACATAGCCTCGGGCCTGTCGGTGCGACGAATGGCACTTTGTCTGCCCTGTCTATGCAGCAGAGGGCTGAGATAGACGGTCAGAAAAACAGAGACTAAACACGCAACAGGAAATGCCACGTCCGGTGCTGGACGAAAGGAGCACGTCACCGATATGCTGTAATGTTATAACGACATGAATGCAGTTCTGCGATGACGTATAAGTACGAACGGGGGTTGGAAAGTGCTCGGAATCATGAAAGCGAATGTTCCGGAACGTCCGGGCTGCCCGTGTGCGCCAGAGTTGGACTCAAGTGCGTCGAAGCGCACACATTTCCACGATACTTTCGCGCTGCCACAAATGTCTCACGAGTGTAGAATAATCGGCTTCACTCGCTTCGTAGTGTCCCCCGTCTACCATTCACAATTCGCATGGTTCGGGTCTGATCGAAGTTCCCAGTAAAATAAGGTATTGGTGACGTGCCGTACGCGTAGGACCAGGACCGATCGGCCTTGAAAACCAATTTTACGATGGTCTCATCGCTGAGCCTAATGACACTGTCCGCACATATCACCCAGCTGAATCGAACGTCACGTGTTTGCTGTGCCAGGCAAGATCGACGCCGTTGCCATGACGACCAGTATAAACAGAGCGGTCAGCTGGGTCGATATGCCAGGCGAACCCGGGGCGAGCGACCCTCGAAACGCTGCGACAGCGCCGCGGACCCGGGGCTAGCGAGCCGTCCATCGCCACTCCTCGCCGCACCCGCGCCGCATTAGCGATGTCCAGCGTGACGTCACGGGTACTGGGCGGTTTTACGCTGAGTTACGACTCGTTTGGAGTGCTTTCCGGAAATGGGGACCACCGAGGCCACAACGGGAAGTCCTCGGTTGAGGCAGTGCTCTCGTCAGGGACAGTGGCTCAGACGAGGATGTGGAAATGAAATGGGGTGCTTTGGACTTATAGCAGGAAACGCACGGCTGACCTGCCACTAAATGTGGTGCTCGCTGCGAAAGAAATGCAGCCTTGGAAGTCATTCATTATCTTGCGTAGACGGCGGAACTGCTCCTAAATATGCAATCATGCGCGATTACACAGGGAGTGCTGGGTGATCAGCTGATGAAAGCAACCCTCAACCGGCTAGATTACGCTCAATTTCACTCAGGCAATGGCTTTACAAATGTTATTTTTATTTGGATACCCCAATCGGAGCACTGTGCCAATGATGGCTACCTGCCTGACATCTCAGTGGCATAGCCGCACGGCACTATGGGGCTAACATGTTGCATACGGATTGCGGAACTTCTTTGTCACAAACGTCTTTGCAATTCCTTATTGGAGTTGTTGGACGGACCTTTGCTCGGTACTCACTCAGACGGTGCACTTAGCCCGCCGTGCGGTGACTGGGTACGTTTTACCGTCGGGCGCTGTTACGAACCCATCAGCTCCACTGTCCTGCACCGGTCGTCAATACTCCTAGGCCAGGCCGCCGCCGCAGACGGTAAATGCCATCCATCCAGTAATCACCTGTGTGCATAAGCCTGGCTCAAGGTCAACAAGTCATTACCGCGCCCGCACGTTATTCGGATCGGTGACGTCATCACAAAGACCCGAGGTGACGTCATAGTATTGACGATCGGTGACTGAAAATCTAAACTTACGTGGAGTGAAGTTGCAGAATCGAAGTTACTTTGAATGAGGCCACATGCCGTTGTAATAAAAATAACAGAACAAGTTTTTCATAATAAAATGAATATTGATGCATTTAGGTAGGTAGTTATGCATTTGTAAAACATTTCTTGTTATGATTATTTTGCCGTGAAGAGGAGAGGGGGGACTTCATTGAAGCTATGCACGGCAGTCGTGACAAAATTACCAAGGCGTCACGGAGCTTTCAGCAAAGCCACGTAGTCAAGCTGTCCTCGGGTCCACGCTCCTCTCTTATCAAGATGAACTGCCGTGGCGCTCAAAAATTGATAGCTACTGCAGCGCTGCGGGTGACCTCTGCGTACCTGACATTTCCACGGTCGCTGATGACCTTGGTGCCGTGTCGGTACCGACGGAGTGACCGTCGGCGTCGACAACTTGTCCCCCGGGCATTCACCGCTGGTCAGTGTGTCCTCGACAAGACTGAACGGTCAATAGTTTCAAGGCAAGGATCGGTGACGGGCGCGGTCACTGGCCGTGCACGAAAGGAAAAACATGGAAGGATACTGCAGTCAATGTATGACGTCAGAACTGACAGCTGTGACGTCAGAACTGACAACTGTGAGGTCACCGGGGCTGAGCTGTCAGAGCTGTCCGGAGGATCGTGCCGCTTGCAGGGAGCGAATTGACGTCATTCAATCCCGGCTCGAATAAGTAACGTGAGGTTTACTGACATCGTGATGGAATGACTGTATCTGATTTGCCGACTCAGGTTGCATATGAAACTGTTTTCTTGCATCTTTTGCAGGGATAGGAAACAGTAAGTACAAAGAACGGCCTTACGCTTACGAGTCTTGATTTATTTTGCATTTTATTTGCGTAACTTCCCAGTATATGATGGAAGATTTCTTGGCATGGCTAGATAAGGGATTGCTGGAAGAAATGAATAATAGCAGAGACAACAGCATTTGTTTAGTTGTAGGTATGTTTCTACTTCTTGAAATACCGTTGGAATAATTCCTCGTAATTCGTAAATGTCACTAGGGGCTGCGTAGTACGTACGTTC